TGTACAACTGTGGCTAACTCTAGCCATAGTTGTACATGTTCCATAACCATTAGTAATAGTTAGCCACAGTTGTACATGTTCCATAACCATTTGTAATAGTTAGCCACAGTTGTACATGTTCCATAACCATTAGTAATCTCATTATAAACAGTTATGGAACACGTACAATTATAGATAACGTTTCTTGACTACTCAGTTCTGGAATTCATTTAAGAGCTAAATTTCTCCAATGAAACTGAATTCAACAATTTTTAATCAAACTTAAAAATATAATAATCTGAAGTAGCAATAAAAAAAGAAATTACCTTTTATCAGACAACATGAAAATGTTACAATCTGTCTCTTAAGTACAAGTATATTTTAGACTAACATGGAATAATTCAATTATTTATGAAGCACCAACAAATTAAAACCTTACGATTTACCTGCTAGACTCCAGCCTAGCCAGAGATGTAGGGACTGGATCACGCCATTCTGGTAAGAAGACAATAAACGAAAGAGGTTCTTGTGACTCTGAGAGTAGCCTCTAATAGAAAAGAAAAACCTGTTTTTTATTTACTGTTAAGCAACCTACCTGGGTTTATATGAATAAGAGACTTTAACATTACACTATGTAGAATTTTATTCAAAACTGAAGACAGACACCAAACCAAGTGTGGATTTTCAAAACTCATTGCAAACACTTGAAGCAGAATTTTAAATTGCTTAGAATTAAACATTTCTCTCAAATGGAGTTTTCTTCACATCCAACATTTATCTGTTTGATGTGGTAGATAATATCAATAACAATGTCACATCAGTTTTATTTCTATGGTGAATAATCATCAACTAAACCCCACTAGCAACTAACAAGACAATAGATGAAAGATTAGCCCTACCTCAAAGTGATCGATAACTGCTTCCATAAGCTCTTCACAGAACGGAGGATTAGCCTCGAAGGACCCACTAACTGGATAAAATCTGAGGATGTGGCTGTTGAAAGTAAGGTCACTATCATTACAGAATAGTTGGTCTGTCCTTGTTAATAAAACTACACTATTCGTACACAAACTTTAAATAGAGCAGAATTGTTGAAAATATTATTATTCCTCTATGTTCTTGATGTACAGTATATTTAAAACAGAAGTCACATCGAACTCTAAAGCATTATATACTTCTCTCTAAGGATGATAAGGGCATCTTTGATTCTATTACCCGTTATTTACAAGGTCTCAAACTTACCCACGGGAACCGAAGAAGCTATCTGTATCAGGAAATGCTGAACAATACTGGCGAAAGTAGCAGTTGAGCGGGGAAGCAAAACATTCAAAGGTTACTCCGAATTGCTTGTGTAAACAATCAAAGACAGTCACTGGTAGAGCCACTTGTGTACCATGACCTTCATTTGGATTGGAGCCGATGAATGTCTATAAATAAAAACATTGCGATAGTACACAACATACATAACTCTTTCCAGAATATAATACATTGTAAGATTACTTTAACATGTCTTAATATAAAAATAACTAAATCATTTAGAAGGTTGATGGAAAAGTTGATTCAATGTAGATATTACAGGCATGTTATAGAATTGATCACTTCAAAAAAATGACTAGATATTTCAGTCATTTCATGAAATACTTCAAAATACTGGTTATTCAGAGAAGTGACCAGTTCCATAACATACCTGTAATAGACACAAGATTTGTAACAAATGTAATATTACTAATTAAATCTCGTACAAGAAAACGAATTATAACATGATCTTCAGGAGGTTGACGATGAATTCTCAGTAAAGTTTTTGTTTTTTCAAAAGAGATTACAACTAAGGCTGCTATGCTAGTGGTTAAATTTTTTTTATCATTGCTATTTGTGCAGATATTATCTGCAAGAAAAGCCATGTGACTCAAACAATGTGAACTTTACATGCATCATAACATCCTGTATCTCATGATGGAAGCTACATTTATATACATCATAACATCCTGTATCTCATGATGGAAGCTAC